AATCCGAATCACATAATAACATGTACCCGGCAGATCTGTCCGGCTACCATTTTTTGAGGGCGACGCTAGGGTCGTTCAATATCTATTAAAAAACTGCTACATCCGGCTGTTTTCTAAGTTCCGGTTAAAATAAACACCGCCGGAGAAAAAGCAGCTTTCGGAAATTTTGTGCCCTGTATCAGCACCGTCGATGTTACACGACTGATTCTTCACCCGGTGTGCAACATATAAAAAATCATTTTATAATACCAGATCATTCCGCTAGTACATGTTATGATTATAATCCCACATGATCTGGTATTGTAAAATGATTTTTCACTTTTATTCTCAATAATCATGCCATATCACGTAAATGATTGGCTCAAATTTTATTTTGAATAATTTTCGTGTAACATACTTAAATAGCCCAATCAAGAACTTTGTCTAGAAGAAATTGTTTTTATGTTTATTCGTTAACTCTGAATTGATGAGCAGCAATTCTCCTCCTCTGATCTCACCTTATATACAACGAAAAAATTCTGCCACTGGTGGGGCCAAAGTTCCAAGACGTCCAAAAGCCACAAAATCACATACAGCGCCTCCAGCCGCAGGTGGTCGAGTTACCAAACGTAATAGTGTTAGTAATGCTACGAAAACTGGAAAAGGCGAAAGTTCCACACGAGGCGTTGGCAGAGGTGGTAGGGGCGGTAGAGGAGGTAGTACCCGCGGCCGCAAGCCAAGTCTACAACGTCAGCAATCTTCTGGAACTCTTATGTTAGAACATTTAGAGGGCACTGGCGTTCATTCAACCACAACAGCTCCTGCTTCGAATATTGCACCTGCGATGCTTAGAGATTTCGCTCCACAGACACCTGGCGAAGAAATAGATCAATATATTAGACGGGATGAAGAAATAACCGATACTGATTTTGAGAAATCGAATAAAGATGTGAAGCCTGTAGAAGATGACGACGATGATGAAGATGAAGAAGTTGGTGCAACCGCGGAGTCGGATTTACAACGAGCCCAAATGCGATCACGAGTCTATGAACAACACAAGTGAGCTTTTGCTTTGAGATGTTTTTGGTATATTTAAAAATATTAATGAATCGATGTTGCTTAAGTATGTTGCTAAAAGCTTTCTCGAAAGAGCAAACTGAACGATTTGAAGTGTATAGACGTTCGGCTTTGAGCAAACCAAATGTCAAAAAGGTATTAACTAGCTAGTTAAACCTATTTATATTATTATTTCTACGATTTATATTTACACGGCACATTTATTTGAAACTAGTTGGTAAGTGGTATTCTGGGACAACCATGCTCAAATAATATTTCAATTGTAGTAGCCGGATTTTCCAAGATCTTTATTGGTGAAATCGTTGAGAAAGGTATTTAATGACAGTAAAATTATAATTTAATTTCTTTGCATTAAGAGTACGACTAATTTCTAATGGGTTTAAAAAAAGCGTTGGACATTAAAAAAGAGTGGGGTTCGGAAGGACCACTTTCGCCTAATCATATACGAGAAGCGTTTAGACGATATAAACAGGAAACTGGATTTACCAGTCATAATTATCAGAAGAGGCTGTTGCGATGTTAAAGTTAGGATTGTGAACAATTTGCTGAAAATTAAAAAAATTTAGCAGTTTTTGAACAAATTTATAGAAATTAAAAATAATTTTAATTACTTTTGCCAAACTGTTATACACTCTAATTCATGCATAGCTGTTATGACCAACAATTAAGTTGTTATGTTCAATTTTAACAACAAAAAACTAGAAGCATTTTAATAAATTCATCAGATTAAAATTTTAATTGTTAAATCAAATTTTTTAGAATTTAAAAAAAAAGAATTTTGATAATTTTTGAATAAAATTTACGGAAATTAAAAAATGATTTTAATTACATTTGTCAAACTGTTATGCATTTCTAATTTGTGTATAGTCATTATAATTAACTTATTAAAATGTTACATTTGTTATTCCAATAATATTAGAAGTTTTTTAACAAATTTATTATATTAAGAAAGATTTTTAAATTTACTAGAATTTAAAAGACCTTTTGATAGTTTTTGAACAAAATTTACAGAAATTTAAAAATAATTTTAATTATATTTGTTAAACTGTTATATGCTATTGTAACCAACCAATTAAAATGCTATATCTGTTATAATCATTCAATTTTATTTAATTTCAACAACAGCATTTGAAGTTTTTGAATAATTAAGAAAGATCTTTATAGTTAAATCAAATCTACTGAAATTTTTTTAAAAAAACCTTTGGTAATTTTTAAATACAAATTTACAAAAATTAAAAAATAATTTTTGTTATGTTCTTTTAATTTATATATAGTCATTATATTCAATCAATTAATATGTTATGTTTATTAAGACATTTAATTTTAACAACAAACATTGAAAATTTTTAATAAATTCATCAGATTAAGGAAGACTTTATTGTTAAACTAATATACTAAAATTTAAAAAAAGTTTTTAGTAGTTTTTGAACAAAATTTTTAAAAATTAAAAAATAATTTTAATTACTTTTGTCAAACTGCTATGCACTTTTAACTTGTATATTTTTTTTTTTTTTTTTTTTTTTAACTTAAGCAGTCATACTAGTACTTTATTAGAATTCTTGAAACTATACAAATTACAGAAAATTTTCCTAATAACTAAGTCTAGCATCACCCGGCCACCCTATTGGTACTTAAGTGCAACCTCAGTTTTCCTTTAATTTAATATAAAAATTACTTCTACCAAAACTAAATTATTTGGAAAACTTCGACTCAGTTACTGG